TCCCCCCTCTAAGCTGAAAGTGTGAAAGGAGGAAACAAGGGATTAAAGTCGATTTCTCAACACTCAGTGACTCGGTGAGGCAGAATGGAGGACGGCCAGTAAAGACTGCAGCAGCCGCTTATTTCCAGCTCACTTGTTCTGGTTTCCCATTCTGACCCGACACAGACCGAACGACTCATAGCGTCGGACCGCAGCTCGATGCTGTTCTCATGAGTCACAAAGGACTGATAATCGATGCACTAATTAAGATGGTTCCTGAATTGATGTGGCTAACATGAGTCATTTTCTTATCGTAAAGCACTCGGAAGTTGTTTTTATCTGATAAAAGGGGAAGCATTGCACGTCTCTGCGGGGGGATCATTATACAATATGGCTTTAAATCTCTCTTTTTACTATCTAATGCACAATATTTAGTGTTTTCATTTGAGTGTCAGATTTCAGAGAGAGAAATCTATTCTTCATCAACATTAAAAATGGTACTAGTTTCTCTATATTCTATTTTAAATTAAATAGTTTGGGTTAATTTAACGACAGCGTTTATCAGATGATATGACCTGCTTCTTATTGTTTCTGCGAGATGACGAACCACTTGGAAGCTTACATTAATAATTAAATTAACAACCAAAGGAAAAGCATAACAAATTATAAAAGCTATTATCTCAGAGTATTTTTAAATTGCATTATTCATCATACCAATTATTGCACTTTACAGTAAATTGGGATCCTATGTAGCTCAAAAGTCTCCTGGTAATACAATCTGAAAAGGAGAATTCAGAGAGAATGCTTATTATGTACGTCAGCGCCATCATATTTCCACCATACACAGTGAATTTGTACTGAATCAGCTGTGCATTGTGCTGCAGGTCAGCTGTACGGACTGGAGAAGTTCTGGGCGTTCCTGAAATACTCGAAGGTGAAGAACCAGCCCATCGACCCGAAGCTGCAGGAGCACCTCTCCCAGTTCAAGAACCTGGAGGACTTCAGGGTCATGGTGAGTCTGAAATGAATGATACCGTGTGACTGAAAAACACAAGTGGCAAATATCACAACACGTACAATACAATAACACCTGAAACATTGAACAGGTGAGGATTGAGACAATGCAGCGAAATCTGTGACAATGAACAAATATAAGTAATTTACTTATACAAGACATGTAACGAAAAAAACATGGACATAGCTATCATCTCACACCTATCCTGCTATACCTCTACTTTTAGACATTTAATACTTTACATACAGGATAAATGTGCACACTAACTCATGTGCATCCTGTTTCAGATGGAACATCATAACTTTTATAATAATATATTTATTATAATCAGGAACAGCTGCAAGAGAATAAAATGTATTTTGAGGTTGAAGATTTTACCTTTCACCTTTTTTGCAAGGCTAGTTTATTTATATAGCACATTTCAACACAAGGCAATTCAAAGTGCTTTACAACAATGAAAGATATTAAGAGCATTAAGAAACACATTATGAAATGACATTTAAAAACATTCATTATACTTATTATTATATTGGACTATAACGAGTAATAGATTATCTAAATAGTTTAATCTTTTTGTTGTTGATCATTCAATGTTTTCCGCCCTATTATGCATTGACCTCTGACCTGTATTTCCTGCAGCCCCCGATGGGAGATGAGGGAGGCAGGAGGAGACGTCTCTCATCCTCGGCTGGGGATGAAGGGAGGCGTCGGCGACATCCTTCCAACACTACCTCAAAACCTGCGCCGGCCTCAAAATCCTCCACCACCTCCAGCGCTGCACAGAACACGCCCAAAGACAACGCCCCGAAAACAGCCGCCGCCCAGGGGAAGAAGGCCGAGCCCGGGAAGAAGGAAAGTGTCGCAGCTAACAAATGAAGCTCCTCCTGAAGGTGTGAGTTTGGAAAGAAGATGAAGAGAGAGGCGACGGCGGCTCTGAGATCAGCGTTCGCTCTTTTCAGCAGCAGAAGTGTTTGAGTATGAAGAGAGACTGAGCGTGGTTGACTTAATATGATTGTTTTTATCTGTGCATTTCATTTTAAAGCAAGCAAAGCAAAGCGTAGGCAGTGAGCTTGAGTCTGTGCGCCTGGCCGCTCATAACGTTTACAACATATACAAAAAAAAAACCCACAAAAACAAATGCATTCCCTGCATTTTGCCTTTTTATTCTCTCAGATGCCAAAACTCTTTCAACACTTTTTGTTGATCTCAAATTCTGTAAAGAGCTCTGGTTTGTATGGAGCTCTCCGCCTGTTGAACTGTGATTCTAGTTTGCCAAGATGAGAGATAACGCAGATAGTCTCGTGTGCCTTGATCTGATTCACCAGGAGGTAAAATAGTTCAGATTTTTAAAGTCTTCCCAACTCATCATTTGAATGTGTTCAAAACTGACAACACTTGCAGCTTTTTCCTTATTTTCTCACAACGTTAATATCTTTTTTTATCATGACAATCACTGCTGCAGTCATACATTTGTGAAGGACCCCCGAGGCTGCTGCTCATCAGATGTGTCCTGATGTTTTCACTGACGGGCTTCACAGCTAAACGTATCATGTTGGTTTTTAATTAAAACCTGCAAGAAAGAAAAATGACAAAATTATGTGGGAAGCTTTACTTATAGTCCCGTTTTACACCCAGAGCTAGTATAATTTATTGTTTTATTCTTGTTTTTATTTTTACTTGATTTGATGAATTAGTCTTAGGTAATCATTACAGTTTTTAATGGCTTTTGCTATTGAATATTATATATATGGAAAAAAAAAAAAGGAAATGTTTCTGCTGGAATTGTGGGTGTGAAGCTAGCATCATAAGACTACAGTTTATTTTAGCTTGAAGTTTACTTCATATTATGTTTGAGGCTTTGTGCTCTAGAGCACTTAATTCATTAACTTTCCTTTACTTCAGCGATGAACTTAAAAGAGGTTTTAGAGTTGAACTTTAAGAAAAAAAAATGTAAATACTATAAAAAATGATTTGCTATTCGATTATTCTTTTTGATTTTAAGAAGTGATTTTGTTTTATTGGTAGTGTGGTTTTGAGTGTGTATTTAGGATAAAGCAATGCATGTTAATGCCACAGTCATGAATTGTAAAATGCAAAAAAATATAAAATAACATTTGATTGTATAAACCTGTGTTTGAGTGATCTGTTCTGTCTGTTAGCTTACTCCGCACATTTCTCATCTCACTTTTAATATGTTGTGGTTTAGCTGAGGGCGACTCATCGAGCCTGATCAGCAGGTTTTCTTACCAACAATGTTTGAGGGAGTACTTTGTCACCTTTAATTAAAAAACAAACGGTCTGATCTTAATCTACTGTAAATCAAAAAGGAAGATTGTTTTTCACTCGGTGCATTTTGACCAGTTTTCAGCTAGAAGAGAGTAAACAAGCAGTTTGGAAGAAAAAGTATTTACATAGTGTGTGCAAATAACATTCAGATAAGAGCTGAATAAAAATGATGAAACTAGGGAAATGGAATTGTGACCTAGAAAACTAAAGACAACACATGATTTAACATTAAGCAAAACATGGATGCCAATAACATTTAAGAAAATGGCATTTATTGTATTAGAAATGCATGTTCTGGACTGAAAATGTCCTATTCTGCTCATGTAGTCATACTGCTAGACGTTTAAAAATACAATTTCAAAGCTTCAGTAAATCTGAAGATGTTTAAGAAAATAAAAGATTAAAAAATACTTATTTATAATCACTGCTATTTTCTTACAAGTTGTTCTTTGTGACTACGGGTCCCGATCAGGTCCCGATGGAGAGACAGAAAACATCAACAGGACAGTCAGGGGTAGGCGTGTGCTGTGCTGCATTCAAGTGTTCCTCGTAAAACTCAACTCTATTGAATACGTGGATCTGAATGGGACTTTCAAGGGATGCTGTGTAAGTACAGTTGGTTCAATGTTAAGTAGTTTAATCAGTTTTGTGTTTGTTGAAATCTTTATTTTAAATATGTCTCAGTATGCACCTGAATCACATACAATACTTTCCATCGTACACCATTTGTTTATTGATGTTTTCCTCATAGAAATAAAAGACAACGGAAACACATTAGGTCAATAAAAAAGTGATAGGTGCAAGTAGTAAGCAATAAATAAGAGAATGCAAAACCAAAACAAGACACATGCATACCAAAAGCAGTACCGAGACTGAGATAATAACATTAATTGATAAAAGAAAATATAGTGATAATTAAATAAAATACCTAAACATAAAGTAATAGTTGTTTGGTCTGCAGTTGGACAAATCCACATCTTTTAATTTATATTTTCTCAACTGTATGTGTCAAATAGTCTCATGTTTGTACATTTTCCTTTCCCTCTCCCCTTCATCTCACTTTCACAAAATAAATAAACATGATTATTTCGAAACGTCATCTGAATAAAGAATAATAAGTTTACTTTCAGTGCATTCTGCAACCATCACTCTGTGTGGGTTACTTTTTAATAATAAATAAGATAATCAGGTGATTTCACTTATGCATATACAAAAATAGTGTAGCCAATACAAGTTTAACAATAATAATAAGTGTAAATAAAATTCCACATAATGTTGTTTTTATAACATAAGCTATTCGTATTTATAAAAATCCATAATGGATTAATGTTTGAGTTGGAGTGTTAAAAAACTGTTCAAGCTTTTCAACTATGTTAATTTGGAGATTTTCTTACACATCCTTGATAGTTAAAAGTAACAAAGTACTGGTGGTCTGGATTTTGGACTCATGGTGACATGTAAAATGTCACTTTGACTTTCTGGAACAAGTTATTGAAATATTTTTGCTATTTGCTGACATTCTGTTGACACAATGATTAATTAATTGAGGGAAAAATAAAAGGGACCATCAGAAGGATAGTAGAATTGATAATATACGTAATCGTTAGCTCTAGCACAATATTAACACACACACACAGCTCTACGTTGCACCAACGAACACAATGTAACAACACTCGCTCAACTAGTGGTTCCTGCTATTCCCCGACAGGACGTGAACGCAGCATCTGTCCAGGGGCGGGTAGGCGCTAACCGTGCAGTATGGCGGACGATGGAGACACTTCCAGCGGACCAGTGGACACCAGCGGCGGGCAGGGGGCAGCGGAAGAGTCCTCCGACGGGTACGGCCTCAGTGCGATGTTGTTGAATCTTAGTGTTGTGGTTCTGGTGGCGGCGCTGTGTCTGGCGGCGTACCGACGGTGGGGCAGGCGGCTCATCGTGTCCGCGGCCCAGGGCGACGAGGCCTCGGCTCTGCCCAAGATGAGGAGACGGGACTTCAGTCTGGAGCAGCTGGGGGAGTACGACGGGCTCCAGAACCCCCGCATCCTCATGGCTGTCAACATGAAGATCTTCGATGTGACCAGCGGGAAAAAGTTTTACGGGAAAGGTGAGTAAAATACAGTGGGGAAACGCGGGAAAACAACCAACTGACAGCCGCGTTAGTTTATAGATGACACGTCCCCCCGCTCGTGGTGAATTGTCCCGGACAACAAAAATTGGGCGCTAACGGCTGTGGTTAGTTAGCTTAGCTCCTTTTTAGCTTTGTCTATGTTATTGAATCGGATGCTAGGTGTGAGCATGGCTCTGGTTAGCTAGCTTAGCTCTTTTTGTCCATGTAATTTAATGGGATGCTATGTGTTAGCATGGCTATAGTAAGCTAGTTTAGCTAATTTTGTCTATGTTATTGAATGGGTTGCTATGTGTGAGCATGGCTGTGTTTAGCTAGCGTAGCTCTATTTTGCTTTGTCTCTACGAAAATAAAACGGAACTAAATAGTCAAATATATACAAGTTGACCGTGAAAAATGAAAATCTGTAGACTGTGACACCTCAACACTATGAAGGGCTAAATTACAGCTAACACAATGTATTGAATGGGAGGATAGGTGTTAGCAAGGCTGTATTTTAGGAGAGGTCGTGACTAATGTGACATATATAATATAACACCTCCTAACTTTGTAATTAAAAACACTAAACATGTTCACTTTTAAGATAAAGTACCAGTTTTAAACAAGCTAGCCTGCTGCTAAAGCTAGCCTGTTAGCTTGTTGACACAGACATGCACTGTCTGGGTGTCTGGGCTGCAGACTTTCAATGGTGGAAATATAACCATCTTTTAACTTCCGAGTCAAAATATTGATGCTACGATACAAGTACAAGTCATGCATCTACAATTAGGCTTAAGTATCAGGTATTATATAGAAAATGCACTTAAAGTATTAAAGTAAAAGTACTCACCATGCAGCCAAATGTGCTGTTTAGTTGTAACATTATAATATTAGCTTATGATTAATGGTGCTGAAAGATATACTCTTTTGTTTTGTTATTATCTTTGGTGGTTTAATTTTAATGTATAACAATTCATTACAAACATCCATATAGTACTCAATATATGTATTATGAAATATTCGCACATTTGCAAAGTTACTAAGGTAACTAATCTCATTGAAACGTAGTGTAGCATAACATTAAAACACTTAAGCAAAGTACAAATACCTCCAAATGTACTTGAGTAGATTACTTGAGTTAAAGTGCCTTACGACACTGAAGTTGGTCCCAATATTTTCACCTTAGAAATATTAATCTTGCAACATTTACTCATGTAGAGGTTAGTTTTATGCAGAGATGCTGGTTTTATTTTGTGACTTTACTGAATAAGTGAAGTAAAGTAAAAGTTGCCCAGTGGAACACATTTTTCAAAGAGCAAAAACATTTCTTTACTTTGAAGAAGCACGCTCTACTTCCAATACATCTTTATTTATTTGTTTGCAAAGCAGCGCTAACCTGCTACTCAACATTTTCTCAAACGCAACTCTGTAATAAACTATAATTATTCAAACAACATTCCTGCGTCATGTGTCACATCTGGTATTCGACACCAGCAGCCAGCACCCCAAGTAGGCCTGAATCTCTCCAGCTCTTCAGGTTATGACAGACTTACAGTAGAGAGACACTGGAGTTGACTCGGCCATGTTGTCATCGTTTAGTGGGTGCTTTTCACAGTGGGCTTCATGCTGGGACCACAAGTTGATTAAACCATTTGTCAGAGTTTAGAGGAAAGTCATTTATGATTTGTTGGTAGCCGATTAAAGTTGACCCACGTGACACAACATATCAATCATTTTCTCAACCTCTCATTTCTAAGTAGGTATAAACTTGAATGATTTCGGTTTTGCTCAACTAGAAAGGTCCAAGTTCATGACTTTTACGTGTTTATATATTTTGTACGTATACATGTATATAAAACAGTAAGCATTTAAGAAACAGGTTGAACATTGTTCATGAGAGTTTATAGGCCCATAATGCCTTAGGAAGTAGCTCCCCTGTTAGATTTGCATAGTTAAAAACATTTTAATGACTGAGCAATAATAGGCACATTTTAAGAATTCAGTTTGGAAATTATTAACTAAGGTTATTATTTTAGTTAAAGCTCCAATTAACTATTTTTTGCTTTTTCATTACTTTGTCAATTATTTCCCTGATTAAGGGCAGAAATATGAAAAATGCTTATTATTACCTGCAGCTTTAACTTGTTTAGTTGGTGTTTTTCACAGTGGACTTCATTCTGGGCCCTGTAGTTTATCAATCCATATGTCAGAGTTGACAGAAAAGTAATGTATGTCTTGTTTAGGAGTGAATCAAATTTGTTTTACTTTGAGAGAGTGAAGGTTTTGTCCACTTTCTAAAAGAAGTGAAAGTTGGATCCAGCTTCTAGAAAGTAAAACCTTGCCTTCGTTTCCTCTCAATGCTTTTGCTTGGCTTTCGTTGCTCAGATTAGATAAGCAGCTGCAACATGTGCTTTTATCGATATTTTTTGGCGTTTTCTACACCCTGAGATGAATCGGAAATTAAAATGGCATTCAGCTGCAGCGCTGCACAGCAGAGTCCAGCTGGAGCTCTCATTACAGCTGAGACACTTAAAGGGTTGACTTTAGTTTTGGCTCAAATCTGATTCAGTAATTCTTTACTTTGTTGTGAGTCAGGATATTTAAAAAAAGAACATAATTCCAATAATAGAAAGCAACGAATATTAGTTTCTGTTTCTGTTTCTGTTGATGTAGTGTTACTGAGGCGTGTGGTTTTATCTGTAACATGCTTATTTAGTTATGCAAGGTAGGAGCACATCTAATCTTCGAGGTGATAAGGCGTCATGGAAGCAGTGTGGACTGAGTTGTTTTTTTCTTTCTGTTGCACAATTTGAAATGAGGAAACCTGAGGGCCTGCAGAGTTTTCACATGCTGATCAGATGATGTTCTTCTGCAGGAAAACAAGAGATTTATGAGCGAGAAAACCAGCAGAAAGGCCCGGGGCGTTGTTGGAGAAATGTTTCAAGAGGCTAAATAACACAAGTGCTTTTTGAAGAGATTTAGAAAGTGCTGGCCATGAAACATCATTTTAACACAGTATTCTCTTTAAATACACCATTTGACCTCAAAGATTTTCATTGTAAATGGTGGAGTTACACAACAGGGTTAGTTGACCCAACTAGTTGACAAATACCACAAAATGCTTCAAGGAGTTCAATCAACTTTTTGTGCAAACCCCCCCCCCCCCCCCCCCCCGAAAATTGCTGTTTTTAAACCTCTATATGGAGATTTTTTTTGTCTGTTTCTTTATTATTTCATATTTAAGTGAATATCTTTAAGTTGTGGACTGTCAAATGCAATTGTATATCAATTATGATTACTTATCTCACTCAGGGTTAATCACCCATAAAGCAACAGCAGGAAAAGTAGCGGTCCTCCACACTGGATTATTTCTGATAACCGTAATCATATTACATGATTAGTAAGTATTATTAGACTAAAAGGCAGCGACGTGACTCTTTACAAGGCCGAAGGGAAGTAACAAATCATTAAATAGCCGCTGAAACCAGTGAGTGTTTGCTTTGTCAATTATCCTAGTAGATTAATGAATAGATTCATGGACTGTAGTTCAACTCTTTTTATGTGCTCTTTCAGACCCTTTAACCCTTGTGTTGTGTTCAAAACACTCAAAAATAATGACTATCATCCAATATTGTTTTAACTACATCATAACTAACTTATAATGCATTCATAACCGTACAATCCTGTTGTAATTTAATGTTATGGACCAAAACACATTACACCACATATTGCACATGTGCATGTGTGTGTTCAGGTTCAAGTGTTAGTGTACATATTCTTTGAGAAAGGTCGAGTTCCCGTGGGGGGAGGGGGGCAGAGGGAGGGGAGACCAGGTGCATGTTGCGAAAAAATGATTGTTTCAGTTGATGAAGGGGGTGGGGGTGGGGGAGGGGTGTCTAAAGTCCAAGATGAATCTTGATAGGGCCAAATTTGACCTCGATTCACCCCCAACAATTCTACTGGGTCTTCCCAGACCCGAACACCAAATGATACACTTTTTTTTTTGGAGACCTTCAGACTTGGCTAAAATTGTCAAAATCAGTTTTGTAGTGTTTATATAGCTGTTGTGGAGGATATCATGAAGCCTTGTTCCGATACAAAGAACTAGAGCGTAGTTATTATATCATTTTAGACCCGAACACAACATAGGGGTTAAAGGCATTCTGCAGAACGCCACAATATCACAGTTTGCATCATCTCCATATAAATACACGTTCTGCTCTTATAACAACTTCACACTAAACCAGAACTTCTGCTCCATCGCCCTCAACAGGTTTTCAGACAAAGCATGTCTGATTTTCGTGCCGCAAGAAGTGTTTTTGTTAATGTGACCTCGCTGTTTCTGCGCTGCTTTCAAGTGCTTTATTTACTGGCCCTCCTGAAGGCTTTACTGTGAAGCAGCAGCAGTCACATGAGAGGTGCAATGCTGAAATTGTTGCTGAACTAAAAATTGTACAGTTTTAATCACTTCTCTTCCTCTTTAAATCATGTTTAAACAGTGTGGAAACGTTTCTTTTTATTGTATTTTAGTTTGAAGCCGAACTATAAAAAACCAAAAACAATCCATCAAACAGGCAACAGAGAATAACATCCAAAAAGTCTGTTTGTATTAGAGAAGCAAATAGTTTTAACCTGAAATCAGTTCTCTATGGGTTGATAAACTCAATCCATTATTTATAACATAAATGAAATATGTCTATTTTTTCAGACAGTTTGCGTTATATTATATGACACAGCAAAAAAGTCCCACTCGAAGCAGCTCGCTGACCCGCTGAGTTGAAACAAGAGTAACAAATAGTCACATTTTCGTATTTATAACTAGGGATGCTCCGATCGGCCGCCGATCGATATCGGCCGATACTCACTCTCTGCCGATCGATCGGTGCTCTCTAAAAATGCCGATCGCACATGACACTTTTCTCTGTACGCGGCAAAACAAGCTCGCCAAAATGGTTTCACCAGTCTGGCAGTATTTTAAGGTGTCCGAAAATGACAGTAAAATAGCGGTATGCAACGTGTGTGAAGCAGAAATCCTGCAGCTCCACCCGCTGTGACGGACCGGTGAGCAAAGCACACACCAAGAGTGTGTGTCTAACACACTTAGCTATTTTATCTACCTCTGGAACAAGCTAAACTAGTTATAAATATATTTATTCTTGACTGTCGGGTCACTCATTACTGGATCAGTGAGCTGCATGAGATACTGACGGGCTGTCAGGAGAGAGAGAGAGGGGGAGAGAGGGGGAGAGAGGGAGAGAGGAAAAGAGAGCGCTTCCGCTCATTTCTCCCGTGTTATTATCCAAAGTTAATGTAAACTTGAATAATGTACTTCATTTGAATGTAATAATGATGTTGGTTGTTGTTTGTGGAAGCTCCAGTGAGTGAGCCCCATTAACTGAGTTTTAAACATCACTTTAAATGGAAGATCCCCATAGCCCCCACCCACTCGATCGGATCGGCGATCGGTATCGGCCGATACTGATTCCGGCGATCGGTGATCGGCCCCAAAATTGGCGATCGGAGCATCCCTATTTATAACAGCCAAATCCGATTAATTAAACAAATCTGATTCGGTTAAAGCCTTAATCTTTTCCAAAAACAAGCTCTGAAAACAGAGGCGCAAGAAACAAAGGAGCAGACACTCGGTCCGAAACCAGGAAGGAAACAGACTTATTCATCCTGAAAATCTCGGTCCTGATGGTTAACTTGTGGGCTGACTCTTAATGATTTCTTCATCCTGACGTCTGTGTTTCTTCCTCAGATGGTCCTTATGGCGTTTTCGCGGGCCGGGATGCTTCGAGAGGCCTGGCCACCTTCTGCCTGGAGAAAGACGCCCTGAGGGACGAGTACGACGACTTGTCCGACCTCAACGCCGTGCAGATGGAGAGCGTGAGGGAGTGGGAGATGCAGTTCATGGGTACGCTTGTTTCATCGTGTTTCCACCAGAGGAAATGCTGCTCAGATATTGATTTGACTTTGATTTCACAGATGCTTCCACCGTGTTTATCACCTGTCTCTCTGCTTATTTAGTCGGGTCAAACTGAGGATCCAAAACACGAGTTTATCTTCAGTTTCGTTGTGCTTGTAAGCTGTGGCTTTATATGTTGCATAACAGTGGGACAATTCAAAGCTTCAAGGCAGTACACAAACGTTTAATTAGGCTCAAAAATACAGATTCAATATTATTTTTGCTTTTCTAAAACATATTTCTTGCCTTACATTAAAGTCTTAAATGTTATTTTGCTTGTTGAGATACAAAGATTTTACGGTTGATAAATATGGCTGATGACTCGGCTCCAAAAACAGGTTATTTTTAAAATGTGCAGCTCAAACAAACTTTGGAGAAAACTGCACAAACAAGCAATAAACCCAAACTAAAGATATCCTCAGCTGCCCATCTGCTGGAAAAACGGTTAAAACACTGAAACTGAAAGGAAGCAAAGGACTTCTATTCAGATACTTTACGTCAAGGTGTCAAATCAGATTGTTTTATATAACACCGTTTTAGATGCTTTTATTATAGTCTGATTTAGAATCTGCCCTGAAAAGTGGATAACCTCAAAGCTTGTTTTCTTTTTGGTTCCTTCGTGTCTAATTTGGGACTGAAACATGTCGGGCCTCTGATTACTCAAATAAGTCTCTGGACACTCGTCTCTAAGTGAGGCAGATAACACATTTTAACCCTTATGTTGTGTTCGGGTCTCCCGTGACCCGTTTCAAGTTAAAATGATATAATAACTACGCTCTAGTTCTTTGTATCGGAACAAGGCTTCATGATATCCTCCACAACAGCTATATAAACACTACAAAACTGATTTTGACCATTTCTGCCAAGTCTGAAGGTCTCTAAAAAAAAAAAAGTGTATCATTTGGTGTTCGGGTCTGGGGAGACCCAGCTGCATTGTTGGGGGTGACTCGAGGTCAAATTTGGCCCAATCAAGATTCATCTTTGACTTTAGACACCCCTCCCCCACCCCCTTCATCAACTGTAACAATTTGTTTTCGCAACATGCACCTGGTCTCCCCTCACGGGAACTCGACCTTTCACAAAGAATATGTACACTAACACTTGAACCTGAACACACACATGCACGTGTGCAATATGTGGTGTAATGTGTTTTGGGCCATAACACTAAATTACAACAGGATTGTACGGTTATGAATGCATTATAAGTTAGTTATGATGTAGTTAAAACAATATTGGATGATAGTCATTTTTTGTGTGTGTTTTGGACTGAGATAAATCATGGGTCAAAATGTACCCGCTAACACCATGACCGGTAACAGCTTTTGAACACAACTCGAGGGTTAAGCTGATCTGGGCAGCTTTATTTGTTGGCGGCCCCAAATAGTTTCTGATTAAATCATGTAGGAAGAAGTCAGTAAATTACTCTCAGCGTGCTGTTTACCACTAAGAGTTCTCCCTGATGTTCAGCACAAACATTGAGGCAATTTCATATCAATAAGAAGACGATGAAAAAGCCATTATTTTAATAATGGATAGATCTTTTGAGGATTTTCACAAGAACACAAATGTCAAACATTTGTTAGATTATTTTTATTTTATCGTAAACTGAATATCCTTGAGCTTTCAAAAAATCTGTCGCTTCCTGGCTTTAGAACTAAGTAAGTAATATATTTTATTTTATTGAATCAATGGTCCACATCCGATATCGATACATTTACTTTGATTTAAGAAAACCAGCAAATTCCACTTTTGTAAAGTTGTAACTATAAAGTGGCTTTATATCCATTACTGATTTCATATCAATATATTTCCCGGCGAATATATCTTCTGATATTTATTCCCACAATTCCCTTACTAGCCCGTCTTAATCTCATACCTTCCATATTTGAGGGAGATATGAAAGCTTAAATCACCGCTGTCCAGCTGATTTAAATTACGATAATGTTTTTCCTGCACATCTTGAGTGCTGTGAGTTACTGAAAAGATATCAGGAAAGTGAAAGATGAATAAAACCCCATGTTTGGAAAGTGAATTTATTTTTTAACGATTCCTTGATTTAACGTAAGATTTTATCCATATCTTCCAGAAAAATATGACTACGTGGGCAGGTTGCTGAAGCCCGGAGACGAGCCGTCGGAGTACACGGACGAGGAGGACATCAAGGACCACCTGAAGCACGACTGAGCTGCATCACAACGACCAAAGCCGGGAGACCCCAAACAGCTGCGACAGACCGCTCGCCCACATCTACCTGCCACTCCTCTCTCCATCCCCCCAAAAAACTCTTCACCTCCTCGATCTGTCCGGCTGTTCTGGAAGGACCTCCCTCCCTCTTCATCCTGCGGAGATGACCACCAACGATTGAAATCCTTCAATGAGGGCTCTTTTAAAAAAATAAAATAAAAAAACATGTCTGGGCGGAAGAGGAGAGAGGGGATGTGCAAGTAGATGTCTTCGAAATATATTTTAGTCATTTCTCCCAGGGGGGGGGTGGGGTCATCGTGGAGGTAGAGAAACACGTGGATGATCATCGGGACGGGGGAGCAGATTTCTCTCTTTTTATCTTAGTCACAACTGAAACTGCTTCCGCTTCGGACAGCTTATCAATCAATCTTTCTTTTTTTGTGTTCGGATAATTTCCCCTCGTTGTCGAGAGGGCTGCGCTGCGGAAATCGGCGGGGCGTCGCATTTTCCTGTTGTGTTTGTAGTGTATGCACTACTAGGTTTCTTTGTTTGTCACCATGTGATTGTATTTGTTGAGTAGCATATAGGGAAGAGAGGGAAGGAGTTTCTCTTTTTTGGATGGGGTTGGGGGGGGGGGTTTAAAAGGTCTTTGCCATATGAATTCTGTTTTGAATCCCACGAGACGGACTGAATCACTGATCGGGAATACAAAGGGAAGGTGGGCAGTTCTAATCAATCCACTCAATTGTTTACATGCCTCACAAGCCGGCTGCAAGTCTGTAGATTCCCCCTGAAAATGGTCCAAGTATTAATTGTGCCTTATTTTGTTTGTTGCGTCAGTCCTGACCGTTCTAACAGAGGAGGCGAGCGGAGGGATGGAGCAGCGGTTCCCCCCCCCCCCAGACTTTAAAAGAAGGCATACGTTCTGTCAGTCGTCCCACACACACAGACTGTAAAAATCTCCCCACTTCACAAACTCTGTAAATAAACCATATGAGTTACTCAGTGTTACTGCCATATTTATGTAGTTGAGGAACTCCAGATATGTATAATGCGATGTCGTACTGGCCAAAACCCCCATGGTTCCTTTCTTCTTCTTTTTTTGGCTCTGAACTTCTTTTTAAAACGTGGGTGATTCCCCCCCTCCTCACCCTCCACCCAAAAAATAAGACGGGAGTGTTGCAAAGGGCGGGACCGGGAGCTGTTCTTGCGAAATTTTGTTCGGAGACGTTGCTTATCCTGTAAATATATCTATCATTTTATTAAAGCATGTGCAACAACAAAGTGAGCTATGCCGAATTTCCCACCACGTCATGTATTTAAATGTTGGGTGTGTGTGTGTGTGCGTGTCTGCGTGACAGAGGCAGGAAGGGATTTGTTCATGCATAATAAATCGATTTGGTTAATAATTGAAGATGTCTGGAATTTTATTTGCTCTCGGGGGCGGCAGGATTTCATCACTAACGGGAAAACATTTTATAGTTCATTGAAATGTTAATGGCTGTTCACCTGCAGGGAAAACAGAAAGGTGCTTTAAAGTTTAATAATTGACAAGATAATAATGCATAAAACTCATCAGCAGACAGATTATTATCACAATTAATTAATGTTCTGTTATTTACAGTACCTCTGAGCGTGGTTAAACTGAGTTTCAGTGTGATGGTGGTTCTCCTGCATATCTTCAGTGCGGTGGATATGTGAAAACATTTGGGAACAAACTGTACAGCCGGCAGACTGCTGCATGGCAAAGCTCTCAGTCATTAAAACCAGATGTTCAGGAAACACCAAAAGCAAACGGGGAAATATGAAGGCGAAGTTTTACATTTTACACTCTGTATTCCTGTATTGTTACCAAGCAAGACGTCAAGAATTATGGGCTGTTTTAGATGGTTTCTTACCTTGCTATTTGCAATCTTCATTTTTGAATATGGGTACTTAAAGGTGAATAAAAAATGAAAAGTTGTCATCAGATTATTTGACAACGCACACAAATTCCATTAAGGTACTTTTCCTTAATGGAATTTAATGCGTACATTTAAAAAAAAGGAAGGAATTTGTATTTATTTAGCAGGGACATACATGAATATAGCAATACATAAATACATGTATAACTTCATATGATTAAAAAACGGAAATGAGTATGGACTTAAAATATTCAGGAACATATTTTAATAATAATTTTATAATTTTATAATAATAAAAAAAAACTGAATATTGAGGAAAGATAGGTTAGTTAATATATTGGGAGATATTATGTAGATAGTTATTTAATGAAGAAATACCAGAACAGTATTAAAACTAATAAGGGTAATATTTATCATATCATACTACTGGATTATAATAATTTATAAATTGCTTATTTATCATTGATGTATTAAAGAATATTTTTCATTTACATCTATATATTTTTTATTACAATTGTATACCACGGAAGGTAATTCATCCAAATTATATGTATTATTATTAATAATTTATTTGTATTTAAAATGTTTGTATTAAAACAGAATTACATATTCTTTTTCATTTCTTTATTATTTTTATTTTATGTATATATTTTTTTAATATTGTTTTTTGTATTTGTGAATAAAAAACAATCAAAACGTTTTTTATTATTAGTATAACTGGGTATAGTTGAAGTTTAATCATCCCGATTAATATTTTATTTGTAACATTTTAACATATAATAGACATTATTGTACAAAGAGAATCCTTAAGGGTCACCAAACAGTAAAATAAAAACGTGGTCATCAACAACACAGCTCAACAGCGCCCCCAGCTGGCACCCGGATGATCCAGGAATTGCATCACACACACACTGATTTCTGTATGTGTGTGTGAAACTAATCGTAAGTGTTTCTTATCGGCCATCCCTGCAGCGATAAGCCGAAGAAGACCACTTTAAGATCCGGAGCAGAGATGTGTTTTTCCCGCTGATTGTCGACCATCTCAGATCTCCACCGAAGGACTGAAGCTCCTGAACGTACCTCCGACATCTTGGCTGTTTTTGGGCTAAAAAACTAGAAAACAGCATCCGTCTTCCGCTCAAAGACCCGGGTCATCTTGGTAGCTTTCCAGGCAACAGCATCCAAAAGAAGGCGAGGTTTGTCCACATTCATGCACATTAAAGTGACATGAACCCTGCATTTATTTTAAATCCTGTTTTTATTTGTGTCTGCAGAATAATAATGGCAGAGCATCTGTCCCAGAGTGAGCTGGATTACCCGTTCAAACTTCTGGAGTATTTCAACGGATTCAGGGTCTCAAAGGTAACATTTTTTACTTCTAATTTATTCAGTCATATAATAAACATTAAGATAAGTTTGCATTATTGTAACACGGGTTGCTTCTAATCGATGTTGCCATTCATACTGCTTGTTTTGTCTTAAAATCACACACACTAAAACCTGAAGATATTTCGTTTTATATCAATAGAAAATCTTCTGAATAATTTAAGATTGAGCCATAAACAATGAATCAGTTATCCTCATTTAAAATAAATTTAGTAGGAGGCTTAAACCTGGATAAATCTTTATTTTATTTTATTAAACACTTAAAAAACAGTAAAACATGTCCAAATGTAAAAATTGGAAACAGCATTTTCTTGTAAATGAAGATTAATTTTAAAAAGTGTCTATAACTGTAAAGATTACTATCCTTATTTATATGTTTGGAATCTGATTTATTATCTCAGCACTGATCTGGCGATTATTTGGCAGATTTTTATTTTTTATTTATCTTTTCTCTAAACTAAAAGCACCCATTGCTCTTTGCAGGGAACGCTGAGAAGAATCCAGGGCAAACAGTTGTGAATAAATTGATTTCAAAGTATTTCAAAACATGCCAAGAAAGAATAAACTCTCTAAATTGAGCATGCCTTGCAGCTCATTAGAAGTTTATTGGCCGTGCATTAATGTGAATTAATCACTTGTGAATCACTTTTTAAGAGGAAGACAAAATGTGGGCATAGGAAATAATAAATTGAGTTCTCCTGGCAGAGGCAGCATTAAGTCTTATCACACGATCTTCATCAGCCTGATTGGAGTTCTCCCAGTTCTCATGCAAGTTAAAACATGTTATTCCAGCATCTTCTCATCCATGTGGGCTTAAAAGGCTCATGCTTTCCCCTTTCCTGTAGTGTGTTATGTTATTGTGCATGTACATGGTCTGCAAAGTTACTTCCAGAGGGAGTTTTGTCTGTGACATAATGACATCACTATGTAATACTCTAGTCTAAGCGGTAGACCAACAAAAGAGCCGGCCATCTAACCAATCAGAGCAGACTAGGCTTTGGTTTCAGACAGAGGGTGAAAAGAGGTGCTGCAGCACAGGCAGTATGAGGGAAATAAAGAGCTTTTTGATCATTAGAACATGGAGACATGTCACAGTAGTGGCACAAAATACAAATATGAACCTGAAAATGAGCAGATTATGGGCAGAGCTTCCTTTTGAAACATCACTTCGGGAAACTGGCCATGAGCTCCATTATAGTAGCTGTTCTGGATTAGCAGCTGTAATTTGCCCAACTCTCACAGAATGATGTGATGATGTGTGTTGGTCGCTGCAGGTGATTTTCTCGGCCTGTGAGCTGGGTGTGTTCGACCTCCTGCTGAAGGCCCAGGAGCCAATCAGTGCTCAGCATGTGGCCCAGGAGCTCAGCTGCAGCGAGGACGGGATGGAGAGACTGATGGACGCCCTGGTGGGCATCGAGATCCTGGAGGTGGAGACCAAAGATGGGACAGGTGAGGAGGAGGGAGGGAGGGAGGAGGAGGAGGAGGAGGATGAATGCACTATTGATAATTGCACTTAAATGTAATTATTGCACTAGAATAAATGTCATTATGGCAATATTATGAATGTACTTATTGAACTAAAATACTCTGTTGAAGTAAAATAAATGCAATGATTGCACTAAAGTAAATGTCATTGTTGCACTAGTATGAATGCAAATGTTGCACTAGAATACATGTTAGTATTTCAGTAGAATAAATGATATTAGTTCCCTTGAAAAAAATAATTACTGCCCAAAAAAACCTAAGTTAAATGTGTTAATTGCACTCAAACAATACATGTACTTATAGCACTAGTATGAATGTAATCATTGTACTAGAGTAAATGTAATTATTGAACTTAAGAACATCATTACTGAAATTCAGTTATTATGCTTGAATACATTTAATTTAATGTAATTATTTCTTAAGGCTCTAGGTGACAAAGAAAATAGTCAAATCTGCACATTTGAGAAGCTCGAATTGTTTTATTTTTCAAAACCACTTAAATGTTGAACATATCTTTTATCAGACTATTCATTCTGTTTCCAGTGAACTGACACTAACACATTTACTTCTGCATGCATGCCTGCTGTTGCTGCTGTTGTGAATGTCCCTGTTGGGAGTGATGACATCCTGATTTAAAGTGTGAATGTGTTTCGTTAAAACAGCTTTGTACAGCAGCAGCGACGTGGCTAATCTCTACCTCGCCAAAGGCAGCGGGAAATCTCTCCACGACATGATCATTTACCAATCACAGACCATCTACCCGCTGTGGAACAACATAGCGGACGCTGTCAGGTCAGATTATTAAAAGAGCCCTATTATGTTTTTGGGGTTTTCCCCTTTTCCTGTAGTGTGATATACAGGTTTTTGAGCATGTTAATGTTCTGCAAAGGCTAACATCCCCGTGTTCCATCCAGAGGGTCCCTGCCTGAAATGCCTCCATTGGACTCCTTTGTTTACTTCCGTAACTTAGTGACATCACCTGTGCACACTATGCACTATGCGCTTCTATTGGCTATCGCTCCAACACATTCTAAGTGATAGGCTAAGGGCCGGGAAATCTCTAAGCAGCTGAAGCCCTTTTAAACTGAATACAGAGCAAACATTTCAATAATCACAATTTTCTCATGTACACACTGTATTTTCTCATTTTCCACTGCGCAGAGAGGGGAAGAATCAAAATGAAAAGACGTTCGGCCTCCCATCAGAGGATATCTTCAAGGCTTTGTACAGGTCGGTGTTCCTTTTGTAGCTTCAGGTGCATACATGTGAATTTCACTTTGGTGCTGGAATATTTTTTAGTTTTATGATTCTCTAATTGGTTCCCCTCAGATCAGAGGAGGAGATGCTGAAGTTCATGGGTCTGATGAACTCCTCCTGGGTGCTCGATGGACACGACATTGTGACGGCGTTCAACCTCTCCGGCTTTCAGAAGATTGTAGATCTTGGAGGTTAAACGCCCTCTATACATTTCACATGTATATTTAAGACTACATTTTTTTTTTTTGCATTAATTATCATGTTACAATTTATCTTATTGTTGTTTTGGCCAAATAGACATTATAAAATGACAAAAATGTCAGATGTTTGCAGAAAAAATGACCAAAAACCTAACTAAAGTCCAGTAAGTTTCCCACTGCAAACTGACCATATTCTCTCTGAATAACTCCCAGGATGCACCGGGGCTCTGGCCCGTGAGATGGCGAAGGCGTGGCCGTCCTCCTCCGTCACGGTGCTGGACCTCCCGCAGGTCGTAGAGGCGGCGCAGAAACATTTCCCACAGGAGGACGACGCTGTTGAATTTCAAAGTGGTGAGCCTCTTTCTGACTCTTCATTCAACACTTCAAGAGTTTACTATTACAAAAATAAAATCTAGAATTCTATAGGAAATTACTTGACCCTATTTATATCATACATTTAAAATGAGATGACTGTTAAAAATAAAATCCAATAGAATGATGCAAAGTAAAATAGTTTTGCTCACATGCTTTCTGTTGCTGATGCAGGAGACTTCTTCAGTGATGAGATCCCTCCGGCTGACCTCTACGTTCTGGCCAGGATCATTCATGACTGGCCTGAAGAGAAGTGCGTCACTCTGCTGAAGAAGATCCACGACAGCTGCAGACCAGGTGAGTTAAAGTGTAAATTAAAACGGGTGCTGTTGGCAAAACTACTTGTAATGAGCATAATGTGTATTATACATATTATACATATTTTTTCCAAAATCATTTGTCATATTCATATGATATTCTCTTATTACTACATCTTATTACATATTATTTTTCCTGTACACCTTTTTTTTAAATATAACAATAGTTTTTATATAAGATTTTACAATATCTTAAATTGTCATCTTTTTTTTCTGTGTACATTTTAGTTTCATGTACCCTATATTCGTTTTTTACAATATTATTTTTCAAAATCTCCCTAAAAAATCCGTGATAGTAAAAACCTAAGAAAATGGCTATTCCATTTTCTTCGGTGTATATTTATGTCTCCTGTAGATTTACAAGAGATTTTCCATATTGATTTGTTTTATTTTTGCTGTTTTTCCATTTTAAATTCTATTACTGTGTTTGCGAATGCACGATTATACACTAAGACAGATTCCTTGTATGTGAATCGGTGCTCGTCCTCCCTGCAGGCGGTGGCGTCCTGCTTGTGGAGGCCCTGCTGTTTGAGAACAGGCGGGGGCCGGTCACCGTTCAGATCTTCTCCCTCAACATGCTGTTGCAGACGGAGGGTCGGGAGCGACCGCCGTCCGAATACACCCGCATGCTCGAGAAGACCGGCTTCCACAACGTGCAGGTGTGCCGGACCGGGAAGTGCTACGACACCATCCTCGCCACCAGATGAGACTGGGCAGTAAAGAAACTTAAACTTTTCAAAGACTTTTTAAGATATAAGCTATGAAAAAAAAAAAATTCTCAGTCCCAGTGCACATGGATCCCCAGTTTATGTTGTGTCAGTGATTTTTTTTTAGATATTGTTGGACAATGTGAATTGCTTTTCTTGGTAATACAAACATTTGCTGCGTTGCTGATGGATATTGTAAAAAGAATGAGGTCAAAAGGTTATGTTACATTCAATCAATTCAGGTTAAAGGGTAAGTTAGACTTTTTGGGAAATACTCTTTTTAGCTTTCTTGCTGAGAGAAACATTAAACAGCTACCACTCTCTAACGCTAGTAGCCTGGCTGTTAGCTTAGCATAATGACTGGAAACAGAGGGAAAAAGCTAGTCTAGCTTTGTCCAAAAATCAAAAGAACTTTTCCGAAGAATATATTATCCATTAGGAAGAATTAGAAGATAGAAACATCTGTATTTTTGTATATCACTGATCTCTTTTAGGTTTAAAGGCTAAGTTTCTACTATAGGTGGTTATTTATGCTTTCTGTTGATCTGTTTGTCAGGGTTTAACACTCATAAAAGCCAATTTAAAAAAAACAACCTTCAAAAGCAGTGAAAGTTTAAAAAACACTGAATTTGTTTAGCTAATGAAAAGGTGTGTAGTGATTTTGTGTGCTACTGTGACTGTTTCTGGCTTTCCTGTTCCCTGTGGTGAGTTCAGGTACCCTTTCAGGCTGCATTAGATCTGCAGGACAACCCTCAGTTTACCTCCATTTTCCTCTGCTGGTGTTAAAATCTCCCATTTCTCTTTTTTTTGCACGTTAGTTGTGTAAAGTAGTTTATGGAAAGAAATAACTGTAGTGTTACTATGGACTCATATTGATTTCTATACATTTTTCATAATGTATTATTTATTTAAAAAATGTGGTGTTTTTTTAGCTATCTCTTTATACCTCTACATTTTAAATGTTAAATATACTGGAAATGTTCCCATATTAAGTACATGCAAGATTACAGTGTAAGGGAGCTTTTTTTTAATGAATGGTGTCAATATTAAATACATGGTTGATAGCAAAAATGGGATAGCTGTAAGTTTGTTTCCTGGTCATTCCACATTTTGACAGCATGCGTCCTACACATTAAATATAAATACATGCATTTTATTTATATATTATTTACATATATGGTTTATTAGGTACATTTCTCAAAATCTACTCATTATTTTAGTCTGTTTATGTATGCACAGTTATACAGCAAAGCAAATTCCTAGTAGGCCTACATGAAAACCTAAAATAAAAAATGTTTTATAATTAAAATTCTGATTCCTGTTTACTTTTAACAGATAAAAGTGTGTGTCATTTCTAAAAAATAAACGGTCAATGGTCCAGCTGAGTCATGTTATACATTTCACATGATTAGATTAAACTTACTTTATTGATCCCAATTTGGGAAATGTTTCAATAAAGTAAATCTAATTTGTGAATTCTGATTTGTATGTTCACACTTAAAATCGCAACCGGGCACAAGGGTTTATTGTGGCACTGGAAAATTAATTGTAATATTCTCCCCTGCATTAGGAGGATCTCTTAGGGTTCCGGGGGTTCTGCTGACCTCTAGCGGCTCTCAGCTGCAGCTACAGCCGGGCAGGGTAACCTCCTCCCGGCCAACGCTGTGTTTGTGTGTATGTGGAATGCGGGTCAAGCGGAACCCACGGCTAAAAACTGCGCTTCACATCAAACTCAAAAACACCGGCTTTCATCGGCCTGACGTGCTCTGTATGTACCGTCCACTTTATTATCAACTCTACGCAGGTTTACATGAAATGCATATGTGCCGAAATTTTCTTAACCGGCTTTTTGAACGAGTTAATATTTCCAGTATGGTCGCAGTCCGCTAGGAAAACGCGACACCGTCATTTAAAATGGCGCCAAAGATTAACCCCAGCCAGTGGATACAAAACTGCCACTCTGTGCCCTGAAGGCTAGCAACACAGATAGCACAACAACATGTTTAGTTAGTTAGTTAACAGCGTCCAAGTGTTTTCACATGTCAGTTAGTATGTCTGAATTGATTATTGACCCCTAACCTTTATGACAGCTAGCTGATTGAGGACTGTTAAATAAGGGGAGGCTCCATAAATGCCAACGGTTGTGTTAGCAGCTAATGCTAAATACATTACATAGATGTAGCCTCAAGCTATCAAGCTAACAAGCTAGCTGCTAGATGCAACAGCAGACGTCAGCTAAATGTAACGTGCATACCACGCCTGTAGAAAAACATTAATATTTAAGCGTAAACCCTCCTCAAATTAAACTTTTTAAAACAATTGCTTATTTCAAGCTAACAGACGTAAAAAAATCCTTATCCGTACATCCTTTTATCATAAACAACATTTCCACATTTTGTGGGTGGGCCGGGCCCTCATGTTGCATAACATGTTGCGGTTAGCTCTGGCTAACGTTAGCCAGCTAGCATTTTGAGTAATATAAAAAAAAAGGCAGCGCTATGTGGTCTGATTTAAAGCTAATTGTGACCTTATCGTAGAACCACAACATTGCCTTGCTTTGGTTGCTGTGTTGCCGGGGGAACAGTTAAAAACAACTGTTGTAATCATGCTAGCTACAGTTAGCCGCTAGTCAGTTAGCCCTGCTTCAAGAAGGGGCGTCGTACAGACCGATGCTCGTCTGCCGTTAGCTTAGCCTGCTAAATTGGGGTTAGCACCTTTACCCCCCTTGTGCACGCTGTCTAAAGCAGAACCTTAGATATGTCGATCAAGAGTTTTAAGAGTCCCCGTTGACGTGTTTGCCACTTCAAGCTGAACTCATTGTATTGATAAAAAGGAGTAGTTCCCTGTCGGTGCTGCATGTGGTTACTTCTTGTTGTCATCGCTGAACAGTGGCTGTGGTATGTACGCATCTTTAGCTTCAGGGCTGGTTATGTGCTGTCAGATCAGTAAGGACACGTAAAGTGATAAGCTGTGTTGTTGTTTCAGGTACGGATTTGTTTGCATATGTAGATATAGTAGTAGAGTAGAGCTAATGTACAGATTTCTAGACATAATTCAGAAGAAGGGCAAGATGATTGTTTTGTTAGAAATTAAACTGATCCTCAATAAGCACATTAACTGTCTTCGTAACTGCAAAAGTGCTTCATCTTGTTGATAGTATCTGCTAGTAAATCACGTGTACTTTCCTATATATTCTGGAAACTAACTTATGATAATGTCTTATATGTTAAAAGTGTCTTCAAAAGTTGTTTTTGTGTTGATTTTCTCAGTCTGGGCCAAGCAGACATTTAAACATCAAAAACCTTAAGAGAGTTTACTGAATATTACTTATGCCACAAAGTAGAACAAATGATTGAAATGGTAAAAAGTTCCAACTTTGAAATGCTGTCATAGTGTACTAAGAGTTTAAATTGGTACAGAAATGTTCTATAAAATGTGGGACCCCTCCCTGAACGTTGTAGATTCTGGTATATCTGGCAAAAATGCTGCCAGGATTGCCTTGATTGTTCTTTTTGCAAGTTATAATTGAAGCATCTGGTGTTTCATACATGAATCTGAGCCAGTGTTTTTGGTTTGTTTGTTTCTATTGTATGGCATTTAGGGATTTGTTCTCTCTCCTATGAACTCCATAATGTATCCACCTTGTGGTAAAAATGTAAATATATTGTCAAAAAGCATCAACAAGAAACAATAAGACTCTGATCCTAATACTGTCATTGTCAACATATGATCATGTGTGTTTGAGTCAGACTTATTTATATAATTGCCAAATATAGTTTTGTATCATTGCTGTATATTTTGCAGTGTTTTATCAATCTTTTCTGTAACTTAACCTCCTGACTTGTATGTGTGCAGTGTCCTTATGTCGGAGCTCCAGAGACAGACGACGATGAAGAGAAACAGGCATCCCAGCAGCAGTGACGACTCCGACAATGGAAGTAAGTACAATATTGACTCTGCTGACTCATTCATACCAAATCTAAATTTAGCTTGAATCAGGTCGAGCTAACCTCCTTCTGCTTCCTCAATTTCTCAAGTGAATGTGCAAAGCGGCAGAAGTATTTATTCTTTAAGATAATGATTCAATGTAGTTCAGTTTGTTATTTTCATTTGTAATGGTCACATTTTTGTAAACCAAGCACATTTTCTCAAGAGTCCTTTCCTGAAAGTGCATCTCATATCTTGTTACTGTGTGTGTCAGTCAATGTATATTCATGTTCAGGAAGGAAATCACGACAGAGTAAAGGAAAGAAAAGCAGCAGTTGGACAGAGATTAAGGAAAAGAAAGAGACGGCCTACAGTCTGAGAGACAGGAGACAGTTTAGGGACACTTGGAGCTCTAAAGACATCCTGGCAGGTCAGACAGACAGAAAGGCTCAAATCTGACTTCAGTTACAACTTCATAAACACTTTGTATGTTTTGTTTCATCCTCTAAGTATCTCTGATGTGTGGGGTTTTACCTCATTGTATACTATATTGGGGGTAAGCAAATCATTGTGTTGATTTGGTGTGATTATTTGGATTGACTTATTATCCAATATATCTGATGCTGTAGTATTAAAGCGATCAAACCCAAAGATCTGATCAGATTCAGGGTTTTGTTAGGTGAAAAGTTAAACGCATTATTAAGAAAATCCTCCAGGTTTTTGATGTTCAACATGTAGTGAAATCAAAGGCTTCGGTCTCATTGAGGTGGTTTTTTTAATGCTCCTTGATTGATCCTGCTTTCATACATTTTATATTAATCTTAAGAAAAATAAATAAAAGAAGCGAATACATTTAATTGAAAAAAGAAAAATATCAGTTGAGCCATTTGGACTATCCAAAGGAGCCACACTTGTATCTTTTAACATTTTCTTAAAGTTGTATGTCAATAAGAGCAGCTGAAACAGACAAAGAAAACACGAGACACCTTTCATACTCGTTGTGTTTCTCCTCCAGGTAATTCCACGTGCTGGTCACAACATTCATCACAGCCAAGAAGAGGGAACGGGCAAAAACCCTCTGAGGTACGTCTCTCTAAACTCTTAATTGTATAGGATGATAAGAAATTGGTGAAAATCTATCATAGTTCACGAGTTATCTTCTGCTGTCATGTTCTTGTTTTATTACACTTTTTATCTTGAAAAAAAATCACATAAATACTTTTATTTAAAAAATAATGTTTTAATAATTTAATACATATAACACATCGACACCGGTAAATACACTTGTTATAAGAGTCTGTATTTTGTCAAACACAGTAATGTTATCTTCTGTGTTGTACGGATGGAAACACAGCTACTGTTATCTCCTGTTCAGTCTGTGGACTTGGTCCCTGCAGGCCACTGTGCCCTCTGACCGAGAGCCAATCAAATTAAAACAAAACAATGACTCAGGCCTAAGAAGGATCCTGATTGGCTCATTTCTGTCTGGCTATGTGTTGACAACGTGGTCGTCTTTTAACCTTCACATATACTGTAATACATTACCTTGTCTAGCTAACTTATTTTGGTTGTTTGTCAGTTTATCTGCACATTTTACAGTTAACAGTTCCTCTTCAGATGACCCACAAAACAAAGTTGCAGTGTAATTCTATGTTTAAAAAAAAACCGTTGTGTGATAAGTCTTGCAAATTAAATAATTGTTTATTGTTAATATACC